CCACGTTAATCATTCCCATTTTTATTTGAATAGGAATTCAGTCATTAATATCGCATATCAAAACTTCTATACTCTTGAAGAATCTCGACCTTGAGGTGTTTAGTGTCTTCATGTAATTACACTAAACTTGAATCTGTCCTGACCTTATACAGCAGGTTGCCTTCCTCCATGAGCTTCTGCAGGAGGATGATGAGGATGTCGGGTTTGGAGGTCGCCATCGCCCAGGCTGCGTTACCTTGGATACAGAGAGAGAGAGAGAGAGAGAGAGAGACAGACAGAAAGAGAGAGAGAGAGGTGGAGCGTTACATCAAACTGATCCTTAAAACACAGCAGAGCAGAAGTATGGAATTGGCGTGAAATAGAGTTACCTAAAGAGTGTACCTGTTCGATCATAAGGTGACGTTTTGTAGCCTGATGAGGGTTTTAGTGAAAGCAGTTAAAAGAGAGAAGAATGAAAAACAGAGCAGAAAGAGACATGCAAAGAGAAAATACAGCATCACACATCCACAGCAGTCACACAGCAGCCTTCAGACCTCACACGTGTTTCACTTTTACACCGACACCGAGCTGCTGGAACCACTCTGCTTGTTTCCACTGAAGAAATTAAAGTTCTGGACCCCAAAAACTGGCTCATTTTTAATACATTTTCATCTTTTCATTAACTCATGATGAGCCTCCTGCAGTTCCCTCGTGAGCCTTAGATTGGGAAACCCTGAGACTGATCTAGCTTTGTCACACTGAGTTGTTTGTGTTTGGTAAAATTAAAATAATTCAAAAATTAAATCAAATGTAAACTAAAGATCTTTTTTATAATTTTTTTTACCTGCATGTTATTTTTGCATCAATATTTATTTTTGTCTTTTGTCATTTTTATTATTATTTTTTAAAATATATCTATAGTTTAAATAAATTTTTATTTCAACTTTAGTTGTTTTAAGACAAGAAGTTAAACTAAATGAGAAATCTTGCAACTATGTCAAAGAGGTTCAGCAGGCAAAAAAGTCTGAAAATCCCTGATGTAAATAAATCTGAGGCACACTTTTTTTTTTGCTATGCCGGAAACTACTTCAGCCACTTTATTTTCCATTTAAATTTTGATTATTATGATTGGCTGATTATGCATTTTAGTTGATATATGTGAAGTGTAGTTTCTGTGTCATCAGTAAGACTGAAATAAAATGCATAAATAATGACTTTTTAAACACAAATCACCTTTAAATAAAGTCTGAGCGTTTCATCAAAGCCAACTTGTCAAAAAATGCAGAATTATATTACTTTGGATGTTATAAGTTCTGAAAACAAGGAGTACGATTCATAAAGACCACGACACTATGACACTTTGTGGGCAGATGATGAGTTAAATCAGCTCAAGTCAGTGGAAACAGCCAGTTCTGAGAAAGGCTGAGCACCAGCAAAAACACACACACACACACACACACATAGGTTTTTATGGTTTAGGGGGACTCTCCATAGGCGTAATGGTTTTAATACTGTACAAACTGTATTTTCTATCGCCCTACACCAACCCTACCCCTAAAGCTACCCCTCACAGGAAACATTGTGCATTTTTAGATTTTCAAAAAAACACCATTTAGTATGTTTTTTAAGTCTTTTGAATTACGGGGACACAGGAAGTGTCCTCATAAACCAACCTTCACATTGTAATACCCATGTCATTATACAAATTTGTGTCCTCATAAACCACATAAACACACACACACACACACACAAGCAGCAGGGTCTGTAATGTAAGAGCTTCAGGAGGAAAGATGTGATTGGCTAATAAATATCACATGCTCATGTTACTGATGACCAATGGTCTATTTCAGTGAATCAATTCAAAACTCTTGATTCTTTTCACTGTATTTTACTTCTTGCATTAAAACATTTTGAAACTACAATAACTATTCAGTCCACATGTTGTCTCCTCTGACTGAAAACCCCATCATGCTTCACATTTCACAGCAAATACATGCATATTGATAATATCAAAAGGCATGATTTTCATCCATAGGATCCAGTGGAAGCGCAGATGCTGGTCTCACCTAGTTTGGCTCCTTTCTTCAGTAAGGTCAGCACCACTGAGGTGTTTCTGCAGCCGATGGCGCGATCGAGCGGCCTCATGCCACTGTAGTCCACATGCTCGATCACGGCCCCTTTCTCAACCAGATAATGAACCTGCAAACACACACCTCAAATCATCAGTGTGAATCTGTGACCGGGAATCTGAACTAGAATGACAGCAAGAGGAATTTCCTAAATTTTATGGCAAAATACACTACTGTTCAAAAGTTTGGGGTCAGTTTTTTTTTTTTAAGATGATGCATTAAATTAATCAAAAGTGACAGTAATGACATTTAATATATTTAAAAACATTTCTATTTCAAATAAATGCTGTTCTTTTGAGCTTTCTATTCATCAAAGAATTTTGAAAAATAAAATGTTTCATGTTTTCCACAAAAATATGAAGCAGCACAACTGTTTTCAACATTGATAATAATCAGCAATGTTTCTTGAGCAGCAAATCAGCATATTAGAATGATTTCCGAAGGATCATGTGACACTGAAGACTGGAGTAATGATGCTGAAAATTTAGCTTTGATCACAGCAATAAATTACATTTTAACATATATTCACATAGAAAATGGCTATTTGAATTTGTAATAATATTTCACAATTTTTACTGTATTTTTGGTCAAATAATTGCAGCCTTGATGAGCAGAAGAGACTTCTATCAAAAACATTAAAAAAAAAACTTTCAGACCTCAAACCTCTCATTGGTAGTGAAAAAATTATTACATCATTCATTTTGACTAATTATGCCTTTATTTATTGCCTTTCCTGATTTGTTACGTTTCATGCAATCAGTTCCTCAATTGATTAGACAAATTAGATGTTCAACAAAGTCAAAAAAAAAAATTATAATATCCATCAAAACAGATGATAATTTTGCCAATGTCCATAACATAACTTACCTTAAACTCATATTATGATTTTGCATCCATTTATTAACTCAATCCAAATGCATCAAGCTACAGCGGCAAAAACTTGCCAAAAAAACCCTTGATCTCTCTCATGATCCAATGCACCAGTCCTGTGACTTCACACACCGTATCTACATCAGAAAGAGTCCTGCTGACCTCCATGAGCCTCGATCACGGCTCTACAAAATGTTCTTCACTTACGATGTCTGCGTCTCCGTAGAAAGCAGCCAGGTCCAGCGGAGTGCGTCCATTCTTGTCCGAGTGGTCGATAACTGCACCCTTCTCCACCAAAAACTGAACAACGTTCTTGTGTCCTTTTAAACACGCCCAGCTGAGCGGAGTTAACCCTTCCTTATCCACCGACCCTAAAGAGCCACCTGGGAAAAGCAGAGGAAGTTCGTTTGAACTCTTGCTGGAAACCTGCCACTTTTTTGCTGCTCTACTTTGTTGCATTATAAATGCCAACAACTGCAAAAGATTATGCTGATAAATAAAGTGCATTTGCGCACGTCCCTCACCTATAATAATCAGCAATGTTTCTTGAGCAGCAAATCAGAATATTAGAATGATTTCCGAAGGATCATGTGACACTGAAGACTGGAGTAATGATGCTGAAAATTTAGCTTTGATCACAGAAATAAATTACATTTTAACATATATTCACATAGAAAATGGCTATTTGAATTTGTAATAATATTTCACAATTTTTACTGTATTTTTGGTCAAATAATTGCAGCCTTGATGAGCAGAAGAGACTTCTATCAAAAACATTAAAAAAAAAACTTTCAGACCTCAAACCTCTCATTGGTAGTGAAAAAATTATTACATCATTCATTTTGACTAATTATGCCTTTATTTATTGCCTTTCCTGATTTGTTACGTTTCATGCAATCAGTTCCTCAATTGATTAGACAAATTAGATGTTCAACAAAGTCAAAAAAAAAAATTATAATATCCATCAAAACAGATGATAATTTTGCCAATGTCCATAACATAACTTACCTTAAACTCATATTATGATTTTGCATCCATTTATTAACTCAATCCAAATGCATCAAGCTACAGCGGCAAAAACTTGCCAAAAAAACCCCTTGATCTCTCTCATGATCCAATGCACCAGTCCTGTGACTTCACACACCGTATCTACATGAGAAAGAGTCCTGCTGACCTCCATGAGCCTCGATCACGGCTCTACAAAATGTTCTTCACTTACGATGTCTGCGTCTCCGTAGAAAGCAGCCAGGTCCAGCGGAGTGCGTCCATTCTTGTCCGAGTGGTCGATAACTGCACCCTTCTCCACCAAAAACTGAACAACGTTCTTGTGTCCTTTTAAACACGCCCAGCTGAGCGGAGTTAACCCTTCCTTATCCAGCGACGCTAAAGAGCCACCTGGGAAAAGCAGAGGAAGTTCGTTTGAACTCTTGCTGGAAACCTGCCACTTTTTTGCTGCTCTACTTTGTTGCATTATAAATGCCAACAACTGCAAAAGATTATGCTGATAAATAAAGTGCATTTGCGCACGTCCCTCACCTTTAGACAACAGGAAGTCGGCCGTGCTGAGATGCCCCTCACATGCGGCCACCATCAGCAGCGTTCGGCCCTGTTTGTCGCTTACATTCACATCTGCCCCATGCTGCAGCAGCAGATCTGCAATCTGAAAGAGAGGCGTTCCTTCATTAAACATCTTTTCTGAAGAGGAAGTACTGCTGTTTGTGTTGTTCGGGTGTTTTGCAGGGTCTCACCTGCCAGTGTCCCTGTCGGACTGCGCAGAACAGGGCACATGCTCCTCTCCTGTTCACCTGCTGAACCTGCGCCCCCCGCTCCAACAGGAAGCTGCACACCTCCATCTTCCCCCGTCCTGCGGCCGCAGTCAGAGCTAAGACAATAAAGAGAAATGCAAACATGCATTATGAGTTTCAATTGAATGTCACAAACTATTTAAAATAAATAATAAAAAGAGGCACATATAATGCATGTTATAGTTTTTGGGGGAAATTCTGCAAGAGCTTTGCAGGTGTGATATCACAAAAAATGTAAATGCACCCAAGTGTGCTTTATTTTGAAAATATTTCATGAAAGCATATAGAGGAAAATGAATTATTTATTGCTATAGGAAAAATAAAGTAATAATATAAAATAATAAATCAATCAATAATAAAATAATCAATTAATTAATAATAATTTAATTTATTTTTATTAATTAGTAATAATAAAATTATATAATAAAAAACATTAAATAATATTTATTGATTATAAATAAAAATGTGTATATATATATATATATATATTAATAAAAT